TTGTGCACAAAAGCCACTATGAAGGAGCAGCAGGAGCTAAAAGAATAGTGACGTTTTGGATAAACACACATGCTTGGGCTAAAGGAAAAGTAAACAAGGGAATTTTTGGCTGGATTTTATGCATCACTTCAGAGAGAAGTATTTAGGGAAAATGCAAGAAAAAATAATAATGAAAAAAAAGAAAAACACTTTGAACACTGGCAATATTAGTACTCACAGGAGGTTACACACATGAGTAATAATGAACAGTGTGATCTGTAAAATGGATTGAAATATGCCTCTACTATTCTACTCCACTATTGTCCCATAAAACTGGGGTCCATCTTCTTTACTTAATTCTTGCTTCTTCATTATGCTTAAGTTGTAGATTTAACACTTTCTTCCTTGTTATGCTAAAGCTACAGATATTATACTTGCTTCTTTATTAAGCTAAAGTTAGAGATGTTATTTTATTTAGAGTGATTGTTCATTTATCTTTTGTTGTCTGCTCCTCCTACCTACTGTTCTGTTACCGGTAATGCAACACAGAAATCTCCCCGGTGTTGGGCGAATAAAGAATCTCTTCATCTTAATCTCCAGGCACTCCGGATTCCCCACTACTTAAAACATCCACCATAACTGCAGCGAAGGCCGTCCTCACCAGGCCAAGCATCAACGTCTGAAGACGGGTGCAACACTGTAGCAACCTCTACTCCTGACAGGTTGCTCTAGTGACATTTGAAGATGGGTCTAATGCAGAACACAAACTACAGGGACAATAAAGTGCACCTTAATCTTGGGTTAGGGTTAGAAACTGGGAAATTTATTAATATACTGTCCACAGTAAAATAGTTATTAAGTCTAGCAGCGGTGCGTTCACCACAGTCACTGCTGACTGTGATTGAATCAGAATCAGAATCATTTTTATTGCCACGTAAGTAACAGGAGGTCACAGACTTGGAAATTGCTTTGGCTCAGTGCAACAGTCAGAAAGAGATAATAAAAATAAGAATAAAAAACACTTCTAAAGAATAAATTTGAATTTAAAATAGAGTTACAGTTACTATTTACAATATACAAGTGCACATGGTGCACACAATGTAAGGTGACAGCAGTACAGTGAAGTAAAGTGACGTATGATGGGCAGTAAAGTGACTTTATAAAGGGCGGGGGGACAGGTTAAGAAGTGTTCAAGAGTCCAACAGCAGAGGGGAAGAAACTGTTCTTGTGGCGGGAGGTTCTAGTCCTGATGGACCGCAGCCTCCTGCCTGAGGGGAGTGGTTGGAATAGTCCATGTGCAGGGTGAGAGGGGTCGGCTGTGACACGACCAGCCCGGCCTCGAGCTCGGGCGACGTACAGGTCCTGCAGCGATGGAAGGCTGCGGCCGATCACTTCCTCTGCAGAGCGCACAATGCGCTGTAGTCTCTGTTTGTCCCTGACTGTGGCTCCAGCGAACCACACGGTGATGGAGGAGGTGAGGATGGACTCGATGATGGCCGTGTAGAACTGCACCAACATCTGTGCTGGCAGCTTGGCTTTCCTGAGCTGCCGCAGGAAGTACATCCTCTGCTGGGCCTTTTTGATGAGGGAGCTGATGGTCGGCTCCCACTTGAGGTCCTGGGTGATGGTGGTGCCCAGGAAACGATAGGACTCCACAGAGGTGATGGGGGAGTCCATCACGGAGGGTGGGGGCGGGAGCACAGTGCTCTTCCTGAAGTCCACAATCATCTCCACTGTCTTCTGGGCGTTCAGCTCCAGGTTGTTACCACTGCACCAGGACACCAGCCGGTCCACCTCCCTTCTGTAGGCGGACTCATCGTTGTTGGAGATGAGTCCAATGAGGGTAGTGTCGCCCGCGAACTTGATCAGCTTCACGGAGTCGTGGCTGGAGGTGCAGTGGTTGGTGTACAGGGAGAAGAGCAGGGGAGAAAGAACACAGCCCTTTGGGGCTCCTGTATTTATAATCCGAGAGTCCGAGACATTCTTCCCCAGACGCACTCGCTGCTTCCTGTCCGTCAGGAAGTCAGTGATCCACCTGCAGGTGGAATCGGGCACGTTGAGCTGGGAGAGCTTTTCCTGGAGCAGGGATGGCAGGATTGTGTTGAAGGCAGAGCTGAAGTCCACAAACAGGACCCTGGCGTAGGTCCCCGGGGAGTCCAGGTGCTGTAGGATGTGGTAGAGGGCCAGGTTAATGGCGTCGTCTACAGATCTGTTGGCTCTGTAGGCGAACTGCAGGGGGTCCAGGAGGGGGGAGGTGAAGGACTTGAGATGGGAGAGAACCAGGCCTTCAAATGACTTACTGACGACAGACGTAAGTGCTACAGGTCTGTAGTCGTTGAGTTGTTGAGGTGTTCTGGACAGAAAGACACAGTGATAAAACTGTGCAGTATAGGAAAGAATACCTATGTATATCTGCTCTTTCTCCCCTGCTCTTCTCCCTGTACACCAACCACTGCACCTCCAGCCACGACTCCGTGAAGCTGATCAAGTTTGCGGACGACACCACCCTCATTGGACTCATCTCCAACAACGATGAGTCCGCCTACAGGAGGGAGGTGGACCGGCTGGTGTCCTGGTGCAGTGGTAACAACCTGGAGCTGAACGCCCAAAAGACAGTGGAGATGATCGTGGACTCCAGGAAGAGCACAGTCCCCCCGGCCCCACCCTCCGTGATGGACTCTCCCATCACCTCTGTGAAGTCATTTTGTTTCCTGGGCACCACCATCACCCAGGACCTCAAGTGGGAGCCGACCATCAGCTCCCTCATCAAGAAGGCCCAGCAGAGGATGTACTTCCTGCGGCAGCTCAGGAAAGCAAAGATGCTTGCTTGGTCCATCCTCACCTCCTCCATCACCGTGTGGTTCGCGGGAGCCACAGTCAGGGACAAACAGAGACTACATCGCATTGTGCACTCTGCAGAGAAGGTGATCGGCCGCAGCCTCCCATCGCTGCAGGACCTGTACGTCGCCCGAGCTCGAGGCCGGGCTGGTCGTATCACTACTGATCCCTCTGACCCTGCACATGGACTATTCCAACCACTCTCCTTGGGCAGGAGTCCATCAGGACCAGAACCTTCTGTCATAAGAACGCTTTCATCCCCTCTGCTGTTGGATTCATGAACACTTTAAAAACCACCACTGACCTCTGACCTTATGACCATCACTTTATGCTACTCTCACTTTACTGCACTCTACTGCACTCTAACGGGTATATTGTGTGCACCTAGTGCACTTGTATATAGTAAACCAAAGACATTTATGTAGATCTTTATTCATGCATGCCTTTGATTTTATTCTGATTTTACTTGTTTGCACCGAGAGCCAAAGAAATTTCCTAGTTTGTGACTTCCTGTTACTCACATGGCAATAAAAAAAAATCTGATTTTATCAGTGTCCAAACATGTCATGTCATGTCATTTTCTACCCCTTTAGCTTAAATAATCTATTTCTGGGTCAGGGGGGGGGCAATCAGAGCTGCCACCCAAGTCTCATTACACCAGTCCCTCGCTGATCCTCCTGCAGGTGGTGGGTCCACGGGAAGATGGCTTCTCTGTCATCGACTAGATGGCCTTGGTCTTTCAGCGGGGGGTTCAGACAATGTGGGGTTAAGTGTCTTGCCCAGGGACACAACGACAGCAGACATCAGTGGGAGCAGGTGACATGGGTCGCAGTGGGCTCAAACCCACGACCATTGGGTCCAAAGACCAGCGCTCTATCAACTGAGCTACTGTCGCCCCTGTGTCCAAACATATAGAATTTAATAGCTTGTTACTTACAAGCACAGAGCTCCTGATTTGCACTATAAATTTGTATTCATTTTACCAGATGCATGTATTCATTTATGTATATTCCCACTATTCAGGCGTGGCTGAGTAACAGAGGATCCACTCCTCACTGCACCCACAATGACCCATTATAGCAGCTCTTCCCCGTAAATGTGATAATTATACGTTTGTCTATTCACGGAGCTGCGCAGATACACAAACCAAGCTGCTTCTGTTTATTCTCCCAAAATCTCGTTTTATTTCCTGCAACACTTAGCAAGTCCATTATAAACCACCACCATGAGGAAATGTTCTTTGTGTGAAATTGTAACAAATAAGTTGAAGCATGTACTGATGATTTGAAGAAAATTGTGAGGAAATTCACATAATTCACATAAAATTCTATAAAGTATGTATGTGATTGTGACAAAATATGTTGACTCCAGGTGCGTTGATGTGTGTCAGAGCTGGCAGCCGCTGGATCCATTGTGCAGCAGTGACCACAGGACCTCCTTCCCCCGATCCCACCACAACAAAGCCCAATTAAGCAGCGCTGCCTCGCCAGCTGAGGAGCAAACCGCCAGCCACACTTCCACAAACAGGCAGATCTGTTTAAAACCAAAGGAGAGAAGCAATAAAAGCCAACCTACCGAGAGCGACCCCCTCTTCTATGATTCAAACCAGAAGGTACCGGAGCTGCACCACTCACTCCCAGAGCTCAGGCTGCATTACCATCATGTGGGGTGTACAAGTCACCACTATAAAGCTGCTGTAACCTTGATGTCATTTTAGCAACTTTTTGACCCATCACATGTATCATGAGGGATGGTTCGTTGGTACTAGCTCTGCATAAATAGCGCCCATTTGCAATATAATGCGTGAGTATGGATCAGAAAATGTCTACATTTCAAATGAAAGTGTATTAGGACTGGAGTGCTCATTATATTTATGAATTTAAAAGAATGGGCTATATAACTGTCTCAGGTTGATGTTACTGCATATGCTTACTCCAATGACAGACTGCTCCTTGACAAGATGCTTACATCAAACAGTGCTTTTGTTTGTCTAACCTGCCAGAGATCTTATCCAGGATTAAAGCCTTGTCTGCACCACATTAAACATTGACAAAGAGAGTTCCAAATGTATGTTTATGGTGTTCTTCAGGTGGATGTCCTGTCCCCTTTTGTCTCATTTCTGTTGTCTGCAATATGTTCAAGAGCACAGTGTGTTTTGATAGCTAAACATTTCTTAGGATCATTTAGGCCCCTTTGTTATCCTGTAAGCTCCCAGCAGAGGGCAGAGTGCAACGACCTGAGGTGAAGTGGGAGCACTGGTCTGAGCCACGCCCATTGCGATCCACATCGACCTGGTTGAGCGTGGGCTGCCTCGCGGTGTCTCTGGTCAGGCAGCCTGGAGCCCTTGGGTGCTGGCAAGGGGCGCGGGCGTCCGGGAGGGGCCCCCTCAAAAGCCATGTACGGGGGCCACACCCACACGCCATTACGATTGGAAGCTGTTCTGGGTTTCTCCCGAGGCCTGCCATTTTTAGAGTAGCAACACAGTAGACCACATGCTGTGGCTTAGGCCTGTGGGGGAAGGACGGTTTGTTCTTTATTTTAAGTCAAAGCACCACTCTCTCCTTGGGAGAATTCTACAGCCGGAGCCTTGTTAGCGTACAAAATTGTTTGGCACTTCCTTAGTACTTTATGATTAAATGTTGATTTCTGGTTCAGAAAAACTTACGGTAACTTCATTATTTTAGAGTAAATAATTCATATTGAAGCTGCTTCTGTTTTGGTGTGTGGTTTGGTGTTTCTCCAGATCACAGACCAAAGAAACTGTGGAAGTATTAGACTAGTATTCAGGGCCTTGTGGAACATGAAGTCTCGCTCGTCCTGTTCAGTCTCAGAATTGTTCAGGAGCCTGTGTGGGTGAAGCGCTGGGTGGTCCAAAGCAGAAAGGACACGAGCTTCCTCTCACACACATATGGTGTGGCGTGGCCTTTTTGTTTCCATTTTAGGGGTTTTAGGTTATAAGTAATAAAGTGTCTTTAGGTATGCCTTGCTTATTTTACCTACCTATAATGTCTTCTATTTCTGTTGAGGAGCCCAGCCCTCTCTCACCACACTTTCCAAGTTGCTTCCAGCTACATTCAGACATTCAACATCTCAAACATCATGTTCACTAATAGCTTTTAAAAGCAGCTCCAACCCAACACTCCCTTTGGACATTTAGGCCTTAATGATCAGGAAGTCACATCAGTCTCCCCTCCATCAGAGGAAGCACTAGTCAAGCACACCTCACTTCTGCTCCACATCACTCCGTGGACGTTATCTGATACTCTTGGTCACAATCCTCCAACCTCTGTGTCCGTGCAGATATGATCTCCTGCTGTGAATGATGGCGTTTCCACTGCAAGACCACATCATTATGGTTCATGACAAGAGATGTGCAGCTCTGAGTAGGAGACTTACGGGGCTTTGTCTTGTAAAGTGGCTGACCACAAACTCAGTATCTCGCTTACCAAAATTACTGTTTTAGTTGAGCTTTATAAATGAATATAGGATTTAAAGTAATATGCATATTGGTTTATACAAAAATCTGATACATTTTTGATTTTAAGATAATTAAGAAAAACATATGATTAGAATTATTTCTTTCATTCAGTCGCTAAGCGCATGAACACTAGAATAAGAAATTTAGTTATCTAATGTATGTTTGCATCTGTTAGTAATTTTTGGTAAAATGTGACGCAGGGTATGTCACCGTTTAACAGTTGTTGTTAAGAGGATAATGACCGCTCAGAACAAAAATTGTCATAGTAATATAAGAATTATTGTTATTGATCATAAAAATATTTATTGTATTTATTTGGTTGGGACATGTTAATGAACACATCACTCCAGATTGTAGCCATAGGATAATTTCCATCCGTTGTTCCACATTCGCACTCACAAATACACACTCATTCACCCTTAACCATTACACATGTTTTTAGTGGTAGGGGAAACCGGAGTACCCGGAGGAAACCTACGCAGACACGGGGAGAACATGCAAACTCCACTCAGAAAGGCCCTGTTCCGACCGGGATTCGAACCCAGAACCTTCTTGCTGAGAAGTGAGAGTACTATACACTCAGACACCATGCCGCCCTATGATGACCAAGTAAACTGCTCATACACTCTAAAAACACACTAATTGGAAAAACTACCAAAATATCATCTTACCAAAAATGTAAGTCACTATTTGTAAGATTGCCAAATGTAATGCGGTGCCGACATGTGACTGTCACACCCCAGATGCTAAGCAGGGCAGGGCCTGGTTAATGCTTTGATGGGATACCTCTAGGTGTAACGGTGAGTTGGGTGTAAAGTGGGTAACTGGCATTGTGTCCATAGGCAAGACACTTTTCCTATAATGAGTCTGGTTTGTGACAACCAGCATACAAGACATTTAAGAATTGTTTAGCCAATGATTAAAAAACATTTATATTTGTTACAACCTATCAAATCTTGCCTCAAAGTTGCCTCAAAGCTTTACATTTTTAAATGAAATATTGACAGACCCAGGCGTAACCCTCTCCAGGACAATTCGGGCGTTCTGCTCTCCCAAAATTTCATCCACTGAGCGGCGCTGTGATCAAAAAATGACACCGTTTGTTGCCCAGTTCACTTCCGGTTGATTTCATACAATGGCGAATATGGCTCACGAAAACAACAAGCGATTGACAGTGCCTGAATTGCGTGAAAGGTTGAAGCGAAAGGGTATTTGCAGTGTGGGAAAACGAAAGGAGGAATTGTTGTTGCTAGTTCAACGAGCGGATGGTGTTTATGAAGATTTAGAAGAAGATGACAGCGAGCAGAGTGAACGAAAACGGCTGTGTGTGCGAGTGACAGATGGTAACAATGAGAATGAAGTTCAGCTAAGAGGGAAGAATGTGAATTGGACGGATGATTTGCGCGATATGCCACTAGTTAGAGACGGGAATGTATTTGCATACAGAAAATGACGAAAACACTCAACCATTTAGAGAAAATGCGCCGGGCAGAGAGAACCGGAAGTTGCGAAGGCAAGTGTTACCCATAATGCAACGCAAAATTCAGTCGCTCCCCCGCCCATCGGATGGAATTTTGGGAGAGCAGAACGCCCGAATTGCAGAAGGATGACGCCTGTTGCGGTGATTAGGTGGCCACAGGTCTCCATGAGAGACGCACAGATTACAGGGGACAGTGTCTTGTATACAGCACCAGGCAGCTCACAACGCTTTGTTTGGGATAGCATGGAGCTCAACATTTCCAGGGGTCATTTTGATTCTCATACCCCAAGGTTTTCAAGGTTATATAACATCAGAAAGAGCAGATAAAGAATGTGTTCAAATAAATAGTAATAATATGTTCAAAGTTTTGGTCGAAATGTTAAACTATATTGTAAAATGGTCTTTCTCTGCATGCATTCTACTACTTGCTTGACTAGAAGGTGCCAAGTACAACATAAAAGAAAACTCTTTCACAACTCAAAAAACCATCTGCAGCCATGGTCAACAACAGTCAACGGTACATGGTGCATTAACATGATTTTCATAAGAACCACCACTTTTTTGGACTATACATCCCGCTCTCTCTTTCTGCACCCCAAGTCTCTCGCTTGCTCACTTTCCGTCGACAAGCTCTCCAAATCATTGACCACACAGCCTGGAAAAATAGCACAGAGTCATGCTGCAAGGCAAGTCTATCCCTGACCCTGATTCCCTCTCACCACATTTCCATCAGCACTGAGCTAAAACGCATCTAATCATTTCAATTTTCCCCCTTCGTCGCAGTATTATTAACACTGTTAATTTTCTGAGGCTACAGCCTAAAGGGGGGATGTCAAGGGAAACGCATTACAACCAGATATTCCATTGATCCAACGTTATACACTCACTTAGTAACAGTTATGGCAAAGCAAGACTCAAGCTTTGAATGTACAGCGTTAACCTCAAATAAACAAACTACTCATTGGCTTTTGAGTTTCCTGTTTTTTTTTTATTTTTTGCAGGAAGAATCAAATTAATATTTCAATTTTAATATGTTACTATCCCCCTGCTTCCAGCCCTTAACGACTTTCTTTGAAAACATTTATAATCATTGAAATCCCATAGAAATCAAAAAGGTGTTAACTCAGTGTTCCAGTTTGGATATTTCATGAAATTGCAAATTCTAAAACAAAATCCATTCGATGTGAAATGAAAATAAATACTTAAAAGTGCAGTAAGCGATTTTGTTAGCTTAGCCATAGGATCAACTTGAAACCACTCCCCCCTCCCCTCGCCCCTCCACCAAACCAAACATCCAGCATTTTCTTTTCTTTGGGAGAGACAGGGAGAGTGAGTGGTAAACGTGAAATTGGCATTTTCTGTTCAGCCATTTTAGGTTTTAGAATATCCCATATTTCAGGTGCGCGCACTCGCGAGAAACAGGAAGAGGGTGAAGGGGCTAAACGCATCCCATTTGATCGTTGGGGATGAACGAATCCCATTGGTATATATTTATCGGTCCGCTCCAAAATATTTTGTATTCATTTTTGGAGACAATAGGAATCTGGTCAATTCCATTTGAAAACACATGACATGATAACTTGACTACTTTTAGGGTTTAGGGACGCTTTCCCACAAGATTTAAAATGATGCGTCCAGAAAAAATCACTGACTAAATCTTTAAACTTAGTTCTTATATAACTATTGCAGTAATTCTGATACCCATTTTAATTTGAGTAGTGTTTTCCATTGGCACTCAAAAATAAGGAGATGAGGTTTTAAATAAGTTCAATTACCCTTACAAACCATGTAATCAGCTTTGGGGAGTATAATGGTGCCCACCCAACTCCAGAGGGTCATCAAACTCACTGTGCCTGTTTGTGCCCAACAGTAGAACCGCACCGTACAGCATGGGTAAATAGAGCAGGGAAAGCTGTTTGAAGACCCTGTTAAGAGCTTCATGAAATCTCTAATTATAGATCTTATTCAGTGTCTTTTGAAGGGACCTGTAAATGAGCACACGCCAAACGTCAATGATTATTACCACTCCAATAAAACAGGGAGCGGGCGCGCGTGCCACCACTTCAGCAACACTTGGGCGTAATTGAACTTTCCTCCGTGTTAACAAAGAGGAAGTCTAAATATGAAAAATAACATCACAACTGAATGTGTTTTTAAATCATAACTGACAAGATTCCTACTTTACTCTTTGTTGTATCAAAATTATATATAGTGACAAAAGTGAATCTGTGGTGCAAAATACTGTAGGTGTTACTGATTCATAATGCAGTTATCCTGATTATCTAAACAAAAAATTAAGTCAGAAAATTAATATATTAAGCTTCTTTTGATTGGAACAACCTCTAAATATAAACTCACTCTTTCGCTTCTTTATTTGTTCTGAAAAAAAAATTGTCATATGACCAAGAGCACTACTAGACCGAATCAAGTTTCAGAAGTAGTGATCTGGACTCATATGAAAGTGACGTTGCAATGTCTCAATGCTGTTATATTTTATCTAAATCAAT